TTTGTTTCTTAACAAGAACTAAAAAAACTACAAGCTCTTTTATCTCTTAACAAAAAGAGACTTTATAAAAGTAACTTAAAAAAATACTAATCCTATTTCTAAAACTTGATCCTAATAAAATAAAATAAAAAAATCTATCCACATCTCTAAAAATAAAAATAAAATTTTGAACATCTCAATTTTGATCGGCATTAAGATTTCTACAAAATTGATTTTAGGGACATCTATAATTTTCCCCTAAATAAATCCTTCCCAATGTACAACTATTTTTTATTGATCCCTCTCTGGTCCACCCCAATGCATAGCTATTTCTTTTACCTCTCTCTCATGTGGAAAGATGAAATTATTCACATAGATTGGTGCTCGCAACCCTATTGAGATAGGGCTGGGCCCGATGACTTCGCCCGTGCCGACCCTAAAAAGGTAGGGCCAGGGCCAGGGCCACAGTTTGTGGCCTGGGGGCCTGCCTTGGGTCCCGGGCAACCAGGTTTGGCCCGGCTTTGTTAAGGCCAGCACATGCTTAACCCATTGCCACCCCTATTGCCACCCTTATGAGATCAGGAGCTCCAAACTATTTTTTTTAGGGGTTAACATAATCAAAATCACCCTTGTGATTATTTCTTTTGGTTCCATTTTGTGTGTTAGGAGTAAAATTTTGGGCCTTACTCTGGAGGTTTATAGCTTCTTCCTCTTTCAAATGTTCTGCACAAGAAGCATTTCCGATATGGGTATTTAAAAATCATGGAGGGACATTTTTAATTTTTGTGATGGGTAATTTGGAAAGAATGTAATACGAAGTTAAAATTTATAGTCAGAACGAGGTCGTGGTGGTAGCACCACTTGAGCCTTAGTTTAAAAAGGTCACGACCTCCATTCTCACTAATACTTCAAAAAATTGACTCTTTCTAAAATGCGTTGGGGCCTGTAATCCCAGCTGATTTACCAAAAAATTAAAAAAAGCTCATATTTATAGTGGAATAGTCTATAGAGTACCATGGGAAGGCCTCTAAGAGAGAGACTGTGGAGTCCTACATGTGAAATTGAATTTGGTACGTTTATCTAGAGTGTTCTATGTAAATTGCTCCAAGCATTTTGACTTTGTCATAAGGAAGAGATAAGGTCCCTATAATGGCAAGAGATAATCTAGAAAGCCTCTCTGTATGACCTACATATACATGTCCTTTGATTGTGAGATATTTAGGAATGAGAAGTAGCCTCCTATGCTGGCACCTTGAATAAAATCTTTAATTTAGAAAGTACTCCATGCTCCTTCCAACAAGTAGGATTAGAGCAAGGCTCATGAGAAAAATTATTATTCAGGTAATTCAACAAACAAACAAACAAAAAAAATCTTTTTCTCACTAAAATGACTATAAAAAATGGTGTACTCAAATGAAAATATTGTTGGCTTCATAAGACAATTAGGATGTTGTTGAAAAGGGATATGAATACCCTTTGGAAGATTTCACTGAGTCAAAATAAAAAGAGATTGCTAAAAGAGCCATGAAAGCTTTTTTTATTGGGATTGTATACTATAAGACCATATATCTTTGGTGTAAGAAGGTCAAAGTTATTTCTAGTCATTATATGTCAAATTGGATGGCTTGTGTGTCAAGAAGTTCGATAATTTTTTCAAACATTGAGGCCAGCCAGTGACACTCTTACAAGTTACAACCACCCTATTTGAAATTTGATGGACAAGAGTGATTGTAACAAAAGTAAATAGTCTCTTTGTATACTTTTTTTCTTCTTTCTTTTACACAAATGCATAGATGAACCACTTCTTGAAAAGCTACTTCCACAGTAAATTCCAATCGAGTGGAGGAGAGTCTTCAAAATTCCTCTAATGGAGCAAAGTGAAGAATGTTCACCTTTAAATTCTTAGGACCGAGTATGAAGCATTGCACATAAATAAATCTTGGACACTCTTAAAATACTTCTCAAGAGTCTTGGATGTAGAAAATTAATTGAGAAGAAATTGGAAGAAATTGAATATGTTCAGCTGATTAAAAATATAATGGTCACTTGATTATAAGTATGAGCATATTGTTGTAGTCATCAAAGAATCGAAGGATCTGGAAGCTCTGACAGCTGACTAACTCATAAAATCCTTGTGGTAATTTAAAAAAGAAAATCTACTTGGAAATTCTTGTATACCTTTTGTACAATAAAAATAAAAAGGTAACAAACATCCCAAGCCATCAAATGTTAATTGAATAGTCTGGGGTTCACAAACTCCATGTACAAGTTTTCTCAGACTTTTATATCAATGGACAATCTAGCCATCTAATTCACAACAGATGGCTGTAGTGTCAGTTAACTTCTTATAGTAAACTTGTTGAATACTTTTCCTTTTGTTAAATTAAATAAATAAATAATAGATGATCCACCCAAATACCATAGGAGTATAAAGTACAGCAGAAAGGAATCTTGCGGCATTTTATTTTGAAATCAGTGGGGAAGATTCATGCGGCATCTTAATAAAAGAAAAATAAGTGTTAAAAAAAAGACTTAATAAAAGAAAATGAATAATAGGATGTTAAGGATCGTCCATCAAAAAGGATTGTTCAGATTCTATTTCTGAATTGGATTTTTATATATGGCAACCATACATTTGATTATATTTTTTTATTAATTTTGGGAGTAGTATAAAGATGATTTGAGAGTTTTGAAATAGATTCCACAAGGTGTTTTAGCCATGGTATCAAATATAGAATTCGATCCCATAGTTTACAGAAGTGAAGTTCTAAGCACATGATCGAATGATGAACACCTTCAAAAAAAACCTGGAGTTATATGAAGCTTCAAGCCTTTTCCAACACTTACGTGATCATATTGTCCCAGACAATATAATCACACTAGTGTTTTGGTGTTCCAAATGTAAATAGGTTGTTTTTGCTGGATTCACCATGTATGAATAATGAGCAAAAGGCCATGCATCAGCTCCAAACATGGGCAACAATGGGATAAAAGTCCCCTTGACGGATTGAATTCGATTATTAAAGGGTGCAGTTTCATACTTCTCTAAAAAACACTTTGAAGGTTGCAATGTAGTAGAGTTGAGGTATTTTATCATATCCATTTGATTTAATCAAATGATGCAGAATTTTTATACGGTTTTTTGAGAAAGTGTTAAATTCTAACACATCTGTATGATGCTAAACCCTAACATATCCGTAGGATAGCGTCAAATATATACTATCCAACAAAATTGGACGATGACAAATACTGCAACTATATTTCTACCAAGTTGCCGCTTATAGAAACTTTTCTTTAATTAAAATACTGGTTTGAAATGTGGAACCAACCCGGTTAATTTAAGAAATACTTTTATAATTTATATGTATCCAAAATTTAATTTGTTTTATATTTGAATTTTTGCATGAACAAGTTACAAGGTGACGTATTGTGATAATAGACGCCCCCATAGGTTTGGGTTAGGGGGGTTTAGCAGCTTCACTTGAAGCTTTTCAATAAAAGTAGGATTAGAGAAAGGAGGTGACGTATTGTGATAATAGACGCCGCCATAGGTTTGGGTTATGGGGGTTTAGCAGCTTCACTCGAAGCTTTTTAATAAAAGTAGGATTAGAGAAAGGAGGAGAGAGAGAAAGAGAGAAATAAAAGTAGGATTAGAGAAAGGAGGAGAGAGAGAAAGAGAGAAGTTTGGGAGATTGAGGTGTGAAGATAAAGAAATGATGTGTTTAAAAATAGTTGTTTTTCTATAATTTGTTTGGGTTAAAAAAATAGAATTAAAGTGGATAAAGTTAGATTAGAAAGTTAAAAGATATAAAAACCTAGGATTTTCATGCTTCAAAATATGTTTTGAAAACTTGGTTCTATAGAGATATGATATCCAAAAATAGGAGGTATGGAGATATTTTTCTAAAAGTTTATATAAGGTGTCAGTAAGAGGTAAGACATATTTCTGAACTCCTTCAAAAAACGTTGTTTAGATATTGAAAAGCCTTCAAATTGATCATCTCGATTTTGAGACATAGACATGGAAAAAATTAGATTTCAAGTTCTAAAAGTAATGTTTCTTGTAACGCATTATTTGAGCCGTCCATTTTCAAGATTTTTAATTGCTTATGGACCTGCTTTATCTTAACTATTTTTTTAGTTCAAAATTTGACAATGAGATATGAAAATAGATTTTCAGGTTATCTAAAAAAAATTTGACACCAAAATTATATCGTACGGTAGTTTAGAGTTGCACCTTTCTTGTTTGATTGTTTAAGGTTTCAACCATATGCAAACCGCACCTTTTTATTAAACATGTTATTGTTATTTTGAGGGTTAGAAAATATTGCCTTGCCATTCAAACTGGTTTATAAATGTAAGGTTAGCAATGGGTTGTGGGGGCCAGCAATGACCAACCTAGGGAATGTTAATAAATTTAAAATCTATAATCTAGCCCCAATATTTGGGTTGGGTTGGGCATGCGCCAAATGTCATATCGCCTAGTCTAGCCTCGTTTTCTCTTTATAATAATAAATAAATAAAGGGAATAGCTTTCATGGTCCTGTGGAGCAAACAAGGGTACAAACTGGTCCACAGGACCATGAAAGCTATTCCCTTTAAAAAAAAAAAAAAGAAAAAAAAAGAAACATTCCCCACAAAAAAAAAAGAAAGAGAAATAAAATTGAAAGGAAGAAATAAAGAATTATAAACATTTTTAATGAAAATAAACTAAGAATATGAAATTTGAGATATAGAACAGTCCAAACAATCAAGAACTCAACCCACTTTGAAAAATCAAGAGGGAAAAAACAAAAACTTGGTGCACCTCCGATTCTCTTCCACCACGTAAAGCAGCCCCATCAACACGACTATACACATGCAATGCAAGGTGGAACCCATCCCTGCCATGCACCACACGTGTATGCAACCTCACGCCACCAAAGATTCCCATTCCTCTCACCACCACCACCACCCTATATAAGCATTTATGAGCCCCCACGTCTAATCACCTCATCCTTAAGTGTTTTATATCTGAAACCATGGCTTTCACGAAATCTCTAGTTTCTTTTGTGCTCTTCTCTCTCTTCGTCTCTGCATTTTCTCTCTCTACAGAGACTCGATCCCAGGAGAGTCTGAGAGAGGCTCGACAATGTCGAATCGATCGCATTCCGACGAGTCGACCGGCTCGACGCATACAGAGTGAGGGAGGACACACTGAGATTTGGGATGAGTACGAGGACCAGTTTCTGTGTGCTGGTGTCGCTGCTATTCGCAACACTATTCACCCCAACTCTCTCTCTCTACCCAACTTCGAACCAGCTCCACGCCTAGTGTATATCCAAAAAGGTGTTTCATCCCCTTGTTCATCGAAAATAGCTGATTTTTTCCAATTTTTCGTCATTCTCTCTCGAAAAGATTTCATCTTCTTGTAATCTCTCTTTTCTCTTACCATCTTTCCTATAATATTAACTCCTTCTCTCTCTCTCTCTCTATCTATCTATTATACATGTTAGCTAAAGGAAATGCACCTTGAATTGATGGCAGGGCGAGGCATCATAAGCATTGTATTCCCGGGTTGTACAGAGAGCTTCCAGTCACAGGGATATATTAGAACCAGAGTTGGAGGAGAGGGGCAACAGCAGCAGGGCATCAAAGACCGGCACCAAAAGGTTCAGACCATCAAACAGGGAGACGCGATTGCTATACCCGCAGGTGCTGCTCATTGGTGCTACAACGATGGTTCTGAAGACCTCATTGCCTTCTCTATCACTGATGTCACCAATGACGCCAATCAGATTGAGCAAAGTTTGAAGGTTTGCACTTTCTCTCTCTCTCTCTCTCTCTAGATTAGACTGGTAAGGTAGCATTCCCGCTCTCTCTCTCTCTATATATATATAGACTGGAGTGCGAGGCTATGATTCACACCCAACCACTCCCTCTCTCTCTCTCTTTCTGTCATGATCATACCTTTGATGTTCCAGTGAATTACGTACCGACACATAAAATATACTAAAATATAAAATGAAATGAGTCAATTTTGGATTAAAATTAGACCGGAAGGTCGATCAACTCCAGGTTTTTTATTTTTTTTCAAAATTGTCCGAGGATATCATTTTCGGACTGTATTTTATGGTTTTTTATATTTTTTTAGTATCTTGATAGTAGGGTTGCGCCTTAATATTTTGGGTAGTACCCAGTTAGTCCGATGTTAGCCGCAATTTGTTTATTTATTTATTTTTTTTATTTTATTTATTTTTACCTTTTTAATTTATTTAAAAGCGGTTTAAAGTTGGCATCTTCGTACCGCCTTAGCTCATTTTTTTTTTAAAAAAAATAAGGGGCCGAGGACTCCAACTTTGGACTGCCTTGTAGACTTGGCATATCCTACGAACGAAAAACAAAATAAGAGCGGTATACTCGGCCAATTTTGAAAAAAATAAAAAAAATACGTAATTTCTACTATTGCCCCATTTCAGAATTTTTTTTTTTTTCTGTTTTTTCTTCGTGTCCGTATGTAAATTACTCTTGCTTGATAATACACTGCTGTTGTATATTTTCAGTCGTTCTACTTAGCTGGTGGGCAACCAAGGAGGGGTCAGGAAGAGGGCCAGCAAGAGCAAGAGCAAGAGCAAGAGCAAGAGAGACAAAACTCTGTAAACGTTATCAACGAACTCAACGCGGAGCAACTCGCTGAGGCATTTGCGGTGCCAATCGAGTTGATTCGAAGTTTGCAGAAGCCAGATGAGAGGGGTTGGATTGTGCGCGTGGAGAAAGAATCGCTGGGAGTTATCAGACCCGATGAGGAGGAGGAAGAGAGAGAAAGGTACAGTGAGAGGAGCAACGGTTACGAAGAGAGAGAATGCAATGCTAGGATCAGGCAAAACATTGATAACCCACGTAGGGCTGACATCTACTCTCGCCAAGCTGGTCACATTCAAATTGTGAATAGGCAGACGCTTCCAATCTTGAGCATACTGGACATGAGCATTGAGAAGGGCCACCTTCACCCGGTATGAATCCTCGCTCTCTCCATACCTTCAATTGGTAGGGTAGGGATGTTTTGCTCGAGTGTTCAAAAAATCGATTCGGCCAAGGTACTCCGATACTGGCCGAGAAAAGTTATTCGGCCGAGTCCGAGTAACTTGGCCGAGTTCATGTAATTCAGCCAAATTTTGATCTCTCTCTAACAACAACTACTACTGCTATTACTTCTAGTGCCCATTGCCTCTCACTACTCTGATTACTGTTATTATTGGTTCCTCTCTCCCTCTCTCTCTCTTCCCCGCACTTCAGTGCTACATGCCCACGGCACCGTAAACCCTCGCCTTAACTATAGTTATAGTTATCAAGTGTGGACCGGACCACCCAGTTAAATTGTCGAACAATATCTCGACTGTTTTGATTTAAAGCAGAAATCTAGTTTAATTGAAAATTGATAACTATTTGACTGGCTGGTTTTGAGTGATTACACCAGCTAAACAAAATAAATTATATTTTATATTGTCAAAATGATATTCTTTTTTTTTTAATTATATTTTATATTATCAAAATGTTATTGTTATTTTTTTTATATCTTCTTGAAATCTGCACTGCATAATATCCAACAACTTTTAGCAGCTAGATCAATCAATAAATAAACTTATATATTTCATGTTTTTAAAATATTTTCTATACTTTTGACCGCTTTCGTTTGATCCTAATAAGTGGGGCTATAACTCCTATCACCACCACCATTATCGTTCTTTCCAACAATTACTCTCCATCTCTCTGCTATTAATCTTATCACCCCCACACTACACTCTCTCTCCTATTTACTACTATTGCTCCTCGCTCTGTATCTAACCACTCGCCTCCCTCCTCTTGCAGAATGCCCTCTATGCCCCCCACTGGACAATAAACGCGCACACCATCGTCCTCATCACCCGCGGCGAGGGCAACATTCAGGTGATCGGCACCAATGGCCGAAAGGTCATGGATGACCGGGTTCACGAGGGTGACGTCTTTGTGATCCCACAATACTTCACGGCAATGAGCAAGGCAGGCAACGAGGGCCTGGAGTGGGTGGCTATCAAGACCTCAGACCTCCCCATGAAGAGTCCAATTCTTGGCCATGCCTCAGCCATCAAGGGAATTCCCATTGAAGTCTTGAAGAATGCTTATAAGATCACTACACAGGAGGCCCGAGATATCAAACTCAACAGAAAGGATCAGTACATGCTTTTGCCACCAAGATCCACCTCTTCTAGACCATGAGTGAGTTTTTGTACATGGAGATAGACTACATGTGAAGGGGTAGTTAAGGTTTTAGTCTACTTTTTAATAAGAAGCTGTGTATAGGCATAAGAGAATAAGAGAGAAGATGGAGATGAGTTCTTTTTGGACTTGAATAAACAGAGGTCTTCCTCCTTGTGGCTATGTGTTTTGTGTGAGCGCTCTCTCTCTCTCTCAAATAATAAGGTCTCACACGCATAAACAATAATAAGGTATTAACTGTTAACTAATATTTACGCTGGTTGGAATAAAATGTTGCTTTTCTAAATTAAGGACATTAATATAGAACCTCTAACAATCAGCACCATTGGTCCATGAATTTCTTAGAGAAAAAAATCTCGATAAGGCGTGAATTTTAATCTGAGGTGCACTTGGACAGCCATAATCATCATAATTGGTCCATGAATTTTTTGTTTAAAGAAAATTATATGAAGCTTTAATTTCATTTACAAACACTTCAATAATCCGCTAAAAAACTCTCTAATTAATCATCTCATTCTCCGACGTTAGGATTTCGAGTCCTTAAAATTCATCAGGAAACTTTCCAAGTGATCGTCTCATCTCCAAAAATAAGGATTTCCATTCAATCTCTAATTAATTAATCATCTCATCCAGGGAACTAAGGATTTCGAGTCTTTAAAATCCGTCAGGAAACTTTCCAATTAATTCATAAATGAGGTTGAAATGGATTTTTCAGGCCACTGCAGGGGTTTTCTGCATGAGCAGTGCATTTTCCAATAGGGCCTGGCGAAACGCCTTACCTTGATTCTTTAAGAAGTTGACGCCATATACAAGCCACACCCTCAATCATCAAATTATTAGTTCTTGGAGGTAACTAAATTTTCAGTGTTTGATGGAAGACTTGGGGCGACTACTAAACCCGGGCCCGAGCCAAGTGCTCGGCCTGAGTCCGAGTAACTCGGCCCAAGTTGCGTCGAGTATTGTTCAAGCTCAAAATTTTTAAAATTTTAAAATATATATATAAAAAAATAAAAATAGGAAGCACATGTTTAAAGTAAAATTAAACAAAACACATCTACCTAAGATCAAGAAAGAGGTAAACAGAATTCAAAAAAATCAATTTGTGACTAGGGATCTTTTTGAAAAAATCTAAAAATAGAATATATAAAAATAGTTATTCATGGCCAAAATCCTTTCGAATATTTTCCTAAATGATAAAACACATTAAAAAATGTATTACAAATAGATTTCATATTTTAAAAAAATTTATAATATTTTTTTAATTATTTTTAAGATCCCCAAGTTGGACACCATCCTGGGAGATCCTAACGAGCCCGAATTACTCGAACAGTCCAACACTGAATAATTTGACGTTTTTCTATGGCATTAAACAATATATTGAAATTAGAGAACATATTGAAAGGATGCAGTTTATATAAGGCCTTGGAAGGATGCAGTTTACATAAGGACTAGAAGTGTATTGTTATATTGTACAGATTATAATTCATTTTGGTTGTTGAATTTTCTATTAGTAGCCTTTCTATAACTAAGTGTATTGTTAAATTGTATAGATTAAAATTCATTTTGGTTACTAAATTTTTTCTTAGTAGCCTATCATATCCATCCTAACATTTGATATCAATTACTTCGAAAATGGCTACTCCATGGACTATTCTTTCCAATTTGATAAAAAAAAAAAAATTAACTGGCTTTAACTTTTTCATTTAAAAAAATAAAAAAAAATATCCTATTATCCCCTATTTTTAACTTCTATAGCTCATCAAACTTAAAAATTAAAAATATTACTTATAAGCAAAAAAACTCCATCTTTTCTGTTTTCCAATCCTTTAAACCCTTTTGACTATGTATTATTGACTTTAACAACTTATGAAATAACTCTCTCTTTCTCTAAACCTCCATCTCTCTTTCCCATCATCTCTCTCTCAAAACTCTCTTCTCTAAAATCCAAACTCCATCTCTCACATCAACGTCTCTCTCTCACATCATTCTTTCCCCCTAAACTCAAACACCATCTTTCTCTAAAACCCAAACTTTATCTCTCTCTCGAACTCCATCTCTCTCATACATAAGAAAGTGTGCTCGTGTTCGAGCTCAAACTAAACCTTTTGATTGTGCTCGAACTAAAACTAAACCCCTTGACTGGTAAACTACATAGAAACAAAGAGAGAGAGACAGGAGCTTTAAAAAAAGAGTGATGGAATTTGAATAGGGTGTTATTTTAATATTTGTTTGAATTAAATATTTATGAAAAAAAATGTCCAGAGTTGTAAAATAGAAAAGATAAAAATCTTTTGTAATATTTTCAATTCTTGAAAAAGTTAAAAATAAGAGAAAGAGATCTTTTCTTAAAAATAAACTGTTTTTCTTACTACATGCTATAATTTAACTTTTTCATTTAAAAAAATAAATTGTTTTTTTTACGTCATGCTATGAAACTACTGTGAAGAAAAACCAGCTGAACCCATTGATATATCTCTTATAGGCAAAAAGAAATTTTCCACCCTTGATTTTAGATTCAAAACAACAAAATTGAACGATCATCCAAGAAAAATATTCCCTGATAATATTTTCTAAGGATCCAAACAGCCCCGAAGTATTTAGGAACTTACAATCCAAACACTTTCATTTTAAATTACAGATCAGGTCGTTCTAAAGTGGATCAAGAACTTTCAAATAAAAAACTCACTCCTGAGTAGCATTTTTTTTGTATTCAATGTGCTCCAAAGGGAGTCCACTTTAGGCGCTGAAGAGGAGGATTTAGCCAGATATCACCAAGTTTTGGGCACAAGTCCACTAACGGGCACTAAATGAGGCATCACATATTCTCAAGGAAAAGCGCAAGGCATCAGATAAGAACCAATATACATACAAATAGAGATCAGATTCATGAGAATGCTACACCATGACCTATAAATATTGCATTTGAATAAATGAAAATTCCCCAAATAATTATCTTTAACAAACTTGGCATGTATCATCCTACTCCTCAGAAAAAAAATGAAGATTATATCACCCAGTGGGGAAAAAAAAGCTGTAACAATTACCCAAAAGAAAAAAAGCTGTAAAGATATGTTACATGAGAAAATCTAGATGAGAGCCTGAATGCCCATTTGCTGCATCTCTCTTAACCTCCACATTGGGTAAAACACATCCTCACCAAGCTCTTCGGCGTCCATCAGCTGCATTGCCCACACGTAGATTACAGCATGAATTGTGTCCTGTAAAAATTCAGTCAGTAAACAATGATGGCGAGAGAGAGGACCCAAATATCATGAGTGAGAAAGGGAGAGAGGACCCACATATCATATATGAGAGAGAGAGGAGGGGGGGGCTCATATGTTATGAGAGAGAGGAACCATAAATTATCTATCAAATAAAAAAGGGACCTGTATATAGTACGAGAGGGAGAGGGAGAGAGAGAGAGGGAGAGATATTCTAAAATGGAAATCAATTGTCCCTACTATTGGATTGATGTGGGATAGGGACTCAATCCTAGAAGGATGAAGCATACAGACACTAAATATGGAAATATTACCCTAACTAAAGAGAATTAGTAGTTGAACTGTGAAAAAAAAAGGTTCTTCTAGTGTTACCATCATAAGAATGTAGGAAATGAGCAAAGCATTATAGAATCTGATTCTTACCCTGCCACCATCAGTGATGGCACCATAGCTATCACGGACACAGTAGACTTGCTGTGTTCGAAACTGTAAAATGCAGAATGCATGCCTCAGAAGAAGCTCTTGCATGTATAATCATAACTTTCTTCAACAATGAAACAAGTAAGGATCAAAGAACAATGAACCAGAAAATATTAATTAACCAACCATAATGATGATTACAGGAGTGCTTCCCATCAATTTTTGTTCTACAACTTCTGCATCAGATATATGCAAAATCTGCAATAAGAGGTACAAATATATAGATTTATCACAACAAAAAACCAACAAGGATAGACATTAAATAAATAACAAATACTTAAGAAATCAAAGCTTTTAGCCAAGGCAAGAGCACTAGCTCAGGACCAAAACATTCTTACCCTATTATCAAACACCAGATTGTCAAACTTGGATTTTGGGAAAGAGAAGCAGCAGAAAAGAAAAAAGAAGGCAAGGGTCTTTGGTTTGGGTGCTTTGGGGAGCACCCTGCAGGGGGGGGGGGAGGAATTATTGGATGCGATTAATCACAAGAGTACTGAATTAACAATGATAAAAACAACTGATAAAGCTATGTTTCTCTCCATGGAGCAAACAAGGCTTGAGTCATTGCAAAACCTGAACACACATGGACACATGGAATTGGTACAAAAACTTAAAACAGATCCACATAGAAGAAATCGCCTCCCTGAGGCTGTAAGAATAAAAAATAACGATCCACCTGCTGCAGAATTACAAAGATGTGTACGATGTGCATTTAGACTGAACAAGGAACTACTGAAAATGATGAGAAAAATGCCATGTATCTTCTGGCTTCTTTATACTAGGAACATTTACGATTTGTAAAGATACTACTACAATCTTTCATGGATAGTTTCTATCTTTAAAATAAACAAATGCTCTTTTACAGGTGGGTGCCAAAATTTCAAATCATCTGACATCCAGTAGAGTAACTGCAAAACCTTGTACCGTAGAAATGCACGACTCATTGAAATGGCCTTGAATCTAAAATCCATAGCCTGACCATTAGGCCTATGCAATGCCAAATTCATTCATTTCAGGCACCAGCCATGTCAAAACGTAATTGGCACACGCAAAAATATATTCACACCAAGTGTTGAACATTGTTTGCAGCAACATGCTTGCAATCAAGTAAACTAACACCGTGAAAGAGTCATGATATCTATTAAGTAAAGAGTTCTTCTTACAAATAAGAAAATCAGGCGACTGCATAATATATTTATGACAAATGACAACACATGATACATAGATTTGGACGAGGAGCGAAAGAAATACCTTCGTATACCACAACGGACCACAGTCCTTAGGGATACTCTAAGGCAACTGGTTAGAAGCTTTTCCCAATTCTTGGGACCATAACAGAATTGCTAGTCCACTGTCCAATAAGGGGGGCAACACATTTTCTAAGAGAAAGAAACAGAATGTGGAGATACATGTTGTGTGCAGAAGCTCTAAATCCAATGGGTTGATTTTTGGCAAATAAAACACAAAAAAAGAAGAACCGACAAAAAACAAGCAACAAGCAAGAAAAATAAAATAGGAAATAAATAACAAAAAAAGAACACCACGATTTACGTGGTTCTTCACAATGTGACTACATCCACGGGCAATACGATAGATGTATTTCACTAAATCAAATAAAGAAAATTACAAGGCGCTTACTTGAGAGAACCAGAGACACAGAACTCAATCTCCCACCAAGTTTTCTTTTCTCTACAATTCTCTCTCTCTAGACTACTCCCAAAAGTTTCCCTCTAAATTTTTGGATCTTTTTCCCATATGGGAAGTACTTGGAGCCAATCTCAAAACACTGACTTCATGGAAACTTAACTTTGCCTTTATCTATAGAACCATATGTCTATCCTAATCTATACGGACTTACCCATAAAATTAGATCCTAAATTATAGGCACAACCAAATAAATAGGAAACCTAAAATATAAGGAAACTAATCCCATAACATAGGGATTCAAGGCAAACCATTATATCAACAAATCTCCACCTTGACTTGAATTATAAAAGAGATTCTCATCAACCGTCTTCTCCACACGTGCCCCCACAGGCGCTCACCTTGGCAACACATTAGTCAAGTTCAAGCATAGCTTGAACTTCTGGCAAAAATAACTTTGGAATTTGGAAAATCAATATTCGAGATTTGCTAGTGCAACAAGGTCTACATAAAGCTCTGATACCAATTTGTGGATAATGGTTTGCATTGAATCTCTATTTTATGGGATTAGTTTCCTTATCTTTTAGGTTTCCTAATTATTTGGTAGTGCCTATTATTTAAGGTCTAATTTTATGGGTAAGTCCATATAGATAAAGATAGACATATGGGTCCCTAGATAAAGGCAAAGTTAAGTTTCCATAAAGTTAGTGTTTCGAGATTGGCTCAACGTACTTCCCATATGGGGTTTGTTTTTAAGGGTTATTTTAGAGAGAGAGAGAGGAAAAGATTCAAAAAGTTAGAGGGAAACTTTTGGGGGTTTTCTAAAAAGAGAAAATTGTAGAGAGAAGAAAGCTTGGTGGGAGAAGTTTAGTGTATCTGATTCTCTCCAGTAAGTACTTAGTAATTTTCTTTCTTTGATTTAGTAAAAAACATCGATCGTCTTCGCCCATAGATGTAGTCACATCTATGACGAACCACGTAAATCCTGGTGTTTTTTTTTCTGCTATTTATTTTTTGCTTTATTTTTCTTGCTTCTTGTTTGTTTTTGTCAGTTCTTTTTTTTCATACTTTATGTGCCAAAAATCAAACCATTGGATTTAGAGCTTCCGTGCACAACAAGTGGTATCAGAGCCTAGTTTTGGGGCTACTGCTACGATGGTAAAGGTTTGAATGCAAGGTTCAAAGTGGAGAAATTTGATGGCAAACACGATTTTTCAACAAGAACAATGAAGAAATTTATGTGGCTAAAGATGAAGAATTTATGAAGTTGTCTAATGGATGTTGGCATAGTCAGTAGGTGATTTTGATACCAAGGTCGAGATTGTTAGATATGACGACTATCCAAAATCACCCACATAAGGAAATCCCGTATTATGTAGAATTGAGATTGGTGTTGATAAGTTTCCTAAAGGAAATAGAAATCCAAAAGGATCAGAACTCTTGGATATATCTCTTGATTTTTGAGATATATATAACATCTATAAGAAGTTTCCTTTTAGTGTAGATTCCTAACCTTATATATATGAGATGAAAGAGAAAAGAAGATATATCCTATTGGGTCATCATATGGGAAAGGTGGCTTCCTCTAGAGAGAGAGGAGGGTAGGGCCGGCCGCATGTGCATGAGATGCAAGGTCTCCCTTAGAGGGAACAGAATTTCCTATGAAGAAAACATTGTGATGGTGTTTCCTGTAGACTCCTGAAGATTGAGAGGCTAGTTTCTTGTAGAGAAGTGGTTTCCATGGAGATTTTGGGTGATTTCCCCTTTTAGTTATAGAAAAAGTCAGTTTCTTGTTGCTCTCATGTCTCTATCCGGTGTTGTCGATAAAGGTTGCCAGAAGTAAAGATAAGGAAGAACGACATGTGGTGTCGGTCGGGAGTGTCTTAAAAGGTTTGCTCGACTGAGTTTTGTCGAGAGTTAGAGAGGTAACTTTATGTCCCAAAATCTTTGATGTAACTTTCATTGGTATAGTGGATTTCAGTTTGCCGTGCCCGTGGATGTAGCCCTTCTGGTGTGAACCATGTAAATCTTTGTATTCTTGTAGCATGTGTTTCATGCTTTATTTCTCGTACCTTATTTGCCAAAAATCAACCCATAGGATTTAGAGCTTACACACACAACAGTACATAATTTAGTTGACCAGGCATGTATCTACTAAAAAAGCTTTATCTACATTCCTTGAGAGAAGAAACTTCAAAGTCCAATCACAAATTTGATTCAATAGGACAAGGTTTCTTTACCCAACTTCAACTTTCTCCAATAACATGTATATTGAGGGCTAAAATTCATGAATTAGCAGATTGGGCCAGCTGCCAGACTCTTCACCGATCCCTCCCCCTTGCAAAAAAGATAAACAGCTTCAGGATTTAAACTTCCAAGCCGCCCCAAATAACTAGGATAAGGCTTGGATGATGATTGATGGTGATGAATCTAAACCTCCACCTCTTGATACTTAGTTTGGGGAGCTTCACATTTGCAATAGAAATCCATTTGCTCACCGAAGTATGTTCCACTCTGAAGCGCTCACTGAGTGTAAGCATGTTGTTGTCCCTTTGGTACCTCTAAGATCCACTTCCCGGTTCCAGAAAGATAGCCACTCCAAGACGCATCTACATAGACTCCGCCCCATCTAGGAAGGACCGAAACATTAAAGAGGAAAAAAGGGCTCCAGAGTTAGGAAGAAAGCCGGAATCCCTCTCACAAACTTAAAATGAATGAAAAAACATCCCTCTGTCTCTCTCAACATCACATAAAGATCAAGGAACTGGATCGCCAAGTTTCTAATTAGTAAAGAAACACATTTTTTCTTTATGCCCTTTCTTTGAATGATAAAAGCATTGCTTTAATCATCTTTGAAGGTTCGCACACTAGGATCTCTCTCATGACTACCCATCCCAATGCCACATCCTTGAAGGGGAATGGCTCTCCACCTTCCTCCAAATAGGGAGCATCATAAAACATCTAACATTCACAAAAAAAAGTCTAACAATATACTTCAATCAATCACACAACATAACAGAGAAAAAGGGATATCCTCCAACAAATTCACCAGCCCAAAAACCTCCTCATCAATGGCTACCACTTCAACCAAGAAAACAACTTAAAATTTAAAAGTATTTAAGGCTATGACAAGCCTGACAACACTAATTTACATGTGTTGCACGTAGAAATGTAATAAGAAAAAATAAAAATAAATAAACATACTGATCTCAATATCAAATAGAAGAGAGTAAAAAATTAATAAGGCACTCGAAATATTAAATAATAAAAATATATTGGCCCGAAAATTAATATGCTGAGGCAGGAGCATGTATGCCCTTCTTCTTTTTTAAGTTTAATTAAAAAAATCTTCAAATAAACAAAGTTTTTCACATGTATAATGGACATACATGGGGCGTGCATGTACAGTTATCGGGTATAGTTGGCCATACATTTGGGTGGTATAGTTGGTCATGCATTTGGCTCTACATGTTTTTGGTAGAAGTTGATCATCCATGGGGTGTGCATGGAGAGGCAGCCCCAGTTTATTTCAAAAGGCCGCCGCTTTGTATAATGTGCACCATTTATTGTATGCACGCTCCCAAACTAAGGAACTCCTAAGAAGCAAGGATCCCAAGCTCCTGCCTCCAACTAACTACAGAATGTACTAATTGAAATAATGAACTATGTTTGGTTGTTTGAATACATTACAGTGGAGCCTGTAATATCAACTGCAGTATGCAATATTCTATTATGCAAGAGTCAAATAACTATATAAGATGCATAAAAAAACACCATATGGGACAAAGCACAACATAGTTAAGGGAATAGGGGAGTTGTGTAAAGATGACAGTCTTTCTAAGAGAAAAAAGTAAATTTCATGTGCCTCTTACTTAAAACCATGGTGGAACATACATTACAGTACCAGCCCAATAATAAATAAATAAATAAATCAACATTGCAGAGTCAAATAACCACAGCTCAAGCCAATTTGTAATCACAATAAAAATAGCAACAAGATCCCAAGGAGAATGAATGACTCCCATCTTCAAGGCAACTCCAATGAGTTCCAATAGCCAATCACATGATCAAGTATTCAAAGATGGAACCACTACTCGAGTTGCAAGGTCCTTGAAATAAAACCATTTACAAATGACCACTAACTGGCAAGCTCAAGTAAAATCACTTGAGTTCATCTGAATGCACAGAAATGAGACAGAAATATTCACTCCAATCATCCAATGTATCCTTTCAACGTCTCTCTTTAAAATTAGGTCATAAATGGCAATTCATAGTAGCCAACCCTTCTAATATCAATAGCCATCATAGGGTTCTCAACCACACAAAAGAAACGATAATAGCATCCAAAAAACTAGGACTAGGAAATGTCAAACCTCAATCTTTCTTATTGATGCAAACTTAATTATTTTGTTCTGAATATGAGTTTGTGTGGGCTACCTTGTTATCAAAAAAGATCCCCTGGCTTACGTAAGCTCTACGCTCTGCTAAACACCGTTCAATTACTTCAGGAAAACAATTTTTCTTCAGTACTTCTGCATCACCCTGTACAATGAAACCAAAATGTCAATAAATAGGCATTATAATCACCATGAAAATTATTGCCCTTCCATTCATTACAACCAACAAACACAAATATTTCATTTAAGAGAGACAACAGCCACAAACCTTGAGATAGGCATTAAGTGTAGGAGAAATCATTTCCTGAACTTCAGCAAGAAACTCTGGCAACGAAAATGACCTATACAAGAAATCGACACCAAGAGCCAGTAACTCAAAGACTTCTACTATAATTATATCAGGTGACTTTCAATAGATATGAAACAAAAACCCAAACAGGTAAGATATATTACGGGTCACGAAGGTGTATTTCCCTGTAAGCTGTTGCTGCCGCCGTTTCGCCAAAAACAGTTTCATTCAGACTGTAACGAGAAGAGGTTAATTTATCTAGTATGAGTGAAACTAATTCATCATGACTTAAGTAACTAATAAAAAATTACAATATTGTTTACAAGGTTACAGCACAAAATGAGCAAGATGCAAACTTACTCTTGAATCTTATGAACAACAGGATGATCACTGGTTTCCCACCGCTCCCTCATGTCTTCAGCTATCTGTCAAATCCAAGAAAACAAGACAAATGTCTACGAACTGATAATCGATGAAATATGGCCCTTATGAGAAGCACATTTCATAAAAGAAAAGTCCACACCTCCTGACCCTTGGTTACAACAGGTTCACTAATCCCATTAATACGCTTGAAAATTGGATGTGCTTGCACCTGGAAAAGATACAAATCAATCAGAATAAGAGTCTAAGACCATCTCAACAAAACTGAAGACAACGCTCCTCTGAATTCATAATGATATTCTATGCTGTGGAAGACCAAAGTCCATTTGGGTAATAACAACCGATAAAATGATGGATAGTTAAAAGACTATGGATAAAGAGTGGAAACCCTAAGAACAGAATACGGCCAAAATGGCGGTTCACACTCCACACCTTCTCGTCCTCATTCTGTTCAATCCCCCTAGATACTTAAGATCCCTGTGGACTACAATTTTTCATAATCCATTGGTTTATAGTGGACTTTCACTTTTTAATTATTTGAAAATAAACATACAATCACCTTTTCTTTAAATGCCTCCCATTGTGACTGCTTCTTGGGTACAAGAACAATATCAGTTGCCGTGCTCCTTTGCCCATTTGCTGATGTGGCAGCAGCACGTTGCATATGCTTCCTCTTAGTTGGGTTGCCATTCAACTCCTCATTTATTATTTCGAAACCCTTTTTAGCTAATTCCACAAATGAAGCATCCTTTAATTTTTGAAAGGCCCCAGTGGCCTGAGTAGAAGAACAGACTGTTTGCCGAAATCTGCTAAATAATGTTTCAGATGCTTCTTGTGTTTCTTGACTGGTGCTAGCATCAGAAAACTGAGCTTTTTCTTCTCCTGATGCAGCATGGCTTCCATTCTTTTTACCTACAGTACTTGATGACCCTGATGGTGGTTCTTTTCCAAGCCCTAAAGAGTCTTTGACCTGCACAGAAAAATACTTAAATCAAAGACCCCAATAGAAGGTTAATGTAAACTATAAAGCATCACGCACAGAAGTGTATGCGTGCAATATGTATAAAACTTACCTCCTCTGTAGCAGCTGAGATCTTCTCTTTCAAATTAGCAGAAACCTGGCAGCAGTGGAGATACACACAGTAAGGTAGGATAACAACCATATTATTGCCTTGTTGTTAATGGAACAATCATATTAATGACTTTCTCTCACAAAAAAAAAAAAATTTAAAAAAAAAAAATCTTTCTACATGAGAAACAAACAAGAAGCTCCAGATTCACATTGGGTAATTTAAAAACAAAGAAACGAACAAAGAATTTAAAAAAATCTTTCTACATGTTAGGTAATTTGAGAAAGTGTACAGATTCACATTGGGCCCAGTAACAAAAATGAAGGGTACCCACGTGCTTTCTTCTAATTTCTTGTAATTGCTATAAGACTGTCGAGAGCGACAGTACAACAAAGGCATTCCAAGGAAAGAGATGATAGTCAAACACACAGAGAAGGGAAAAATTCCAACAGAGTTGAACTCACACTTTAGATTTCCTAGACTTCTAGATATGATAATATCACGGGCTCATCCAAACATTTGCATATCTCAACATGAAAACGGAGACCCTAATTACCCATCGGGTTGCATTAAGTGTATCCTTAACTAGAGGTCTATAAGAGGGAAATACAAAAGCCCCAGGACCAATAACAAGCGCTAAGCTTCAGCTTCCAAGGAGTCTAGGATGCTACTTAGTGTCTCATAATCCTTCTTGACTCCCCCCAGTTATCATTTTTAATACCTCACATCCACTAAATCTTCATCTTTTTGGGGGGAATTGTCATCGAAGGCAAGTTTCAGAGCCATGTCCTGAAGTTTTACCCACATATCCTGTACCATACTTACTGAAAGCTGCCCTAAGAACATGTGTCACAAATCCATCAAAGTATCACCCATCATCACCCATCTCAATTCTAAACTCCTGGGCTAGTTCCCCAATATGACATTTGATGCAGGATTCCAGGCACTACCTGACATCTTCCTAATCCCAGCAGTATTCTAACATTTTGATCAAGACAATGAATTATGCATTATGACTTAAACGAGACAAACGTGTCGAGAGAAAATTCAGTCAAGTGAAGATACTTTAAAAAGAACAGTGATATAAGGGGATTTCTTCTATTGGAGATTTCTTCTATTGGAGGTTAAGTAATATAGGAGACTTCATCCAAATAAGCAAAAAATAAAAAGAAAAAAGAAAAATATTTTCAAACCTTTTTTGCTTGGCTTTCAGCCTCAGTCCAAACATCGTCCACACGCTTGTAAAGCTGCTCAGTCGTCTGCTTAGTTCTGCATGCGCCATAGTATCATCGCTCCCAAAATCAGGCCTTCCAAGTGAAGTGTCTGCGTGCCTTGACATACACAGTATGTCTCAGCCTATCACTAAGAAAACAAAAGGCTAAAATAAAAATATCTTGTTTCGAATTACCTAACTTTCAGTTCTTCTTTAACTTCTTTCAAACCTCCTGCTTTCTCTTTCAAGTCTTTGATCGTTTTCTGGAATTCCGGATTACTGACAACACCAAAATCAAGTAAATGGAGTAAAGATTCAGTTTTTTTTGGGCATGAATGAAATGAAACAGAAACTAAGAGTAGGCGAGAAGACGATGGACTTTTCAAGTCAATGAGAAGATGAATAGTAAATTTTTATATCTTTATTTTGGAAAGCACACAAAAGGAAAAAGTTAAATGCATAAAGGAAAAAGTTAAATGCATAACCAGCAAAACATAGGAATCATAGTGGGTAAAAACAATGTAACATCACATTAATGTTAGCAAACACAGCAAATGCATATAAAGATTTGAATATGGTTTAACTCACTAGAACAGTGAGCGCTCCACATGAAGTAGTAATGATACTAACATTTTTTTTTTTGAGGAAGAAGTAATAATAATAATAACACTATTACCATCATCAACATTTATAATAGGAAAAAACTTATATAAAGTTGACACCTTAAATTGCAGAATTAAGATGCACCCCAAAACTCCATTGAAAAAGTCTATTTTGATGTTGGAAAACCATCTTATTGATCATCTCGACATCGACATGTATGGATATTAAAAAAAAAGATTTCAATTCCTAAAAAAAGAAATCTTGCAACACCTTATTTGGAAGGTCCAATTTCAAGATTTTCATGCATTTATAGATCTGCTTGATTTTAACTATTGTTGGAGTTTAAAATTTTATAATTAGAGATGAAAATAGATTCTTGGGCCATCCTAAAATTGTCGACACCAAAACTGCATCTTATGGTAAAGTTTGGACGTGTGCGATACTTTGATGTTTAAGGTTGAAACCTTATGCAAACCTCACCCTTTATATTATAACCATTCTCTTTTGTTTCTGATAAGTGTCCTTTTTTGCATATAATATTTCGACCATTTTAAGCACTACTACTCTCCTTTCTCTCAATACTAACCATCAAAGAAATCTCCAATAGATTTTGGCTCTGTGATGCTACTAAAAAATCAATCTGATATATAAAAAGACAAATCACTCTAACATTCACCAACTCAGCTCTTCACAAACTAAAAATATGGTTCACAAATATAATATTTTGAGAAAAGATATGGGGACATAAGGCCTCACTGAAGGTATGGCTCTTGATAGAGCAGAATGGTGGACCAGGACATGTGTAGCCGACCCCAAATAGTTGGGAAAAGGCTCTGATGATGATAGTGGTGATGAAATAACATTTTGATGAATTGAAAAATAAAGAATTATGATGCAAATAGCTCTAGAACATACATATTCATCGAAAAGATAGCATCCATCAAAAAGATATTTCCCATCTCATTTTCTCCATTTAGCTCCTAAGCCAGAAAAAAAAATAAAAAAAATAAAAAAATAAAAAACTTGTAAAACATTAAAATAAATAAATAACAAGAAACATAAAGTCAAAAAAAAACAGATTGAAGATAATGCCTAGTAAATTTACGATGTAATTAACATCTATCAAATTGGAATTTTATGTTATAATTCAACCAGATAAGGCTCCAACAAGAGGCAGAAATATGCAATAAATTACTCAGAATTGATCCAATCCCAAAAACTATTTCATTATAAAGAAATAAATAAATAAAAATTGTAATAGTATGTAATGAAAACAAACTAAAAAAATTGTAATAGTATGTAATGAAAACAAACTAAAAAATTGTAATAGTATGTAACGAAAACAAACTAAAGAAATTGTAAAAGGTGAAGGAACAGGAACACTGTAAATCACTAGCTCATGAAAATCAAATAATCCTAATAAAATTTTCCATTTCCTACATTTATTCATTTAAATTGAGGCTTTGTACACTTCAAATTACAGAATTAACCAAAACAAAGAACCAACCCAAGAAAACATAGAAAAAAATAAGATTTTGATCACACGGAAGCACACCTATTGGCTTGTCCCTTGAATTGCTTTGAAAACTCATTGAAAACACTGAATCGGCGAGAGGCTGAAACCCCGGGGGCACAAATAGAACGAGAGTACGCTGCCTGTAAATTATTTTAAAAATAAGAAAACAGTCAAAATATTTGTTGAGACAAACAAAAAATAAACGGGTAAAGAATATGAAAAAGAACAAACCTGTAAAGATTGAGTTTGATGCAGGGAAAGCATGCGCTCTGAAAGAAAGAGGTCACGAATCAATTTTCTGCTACCCATTACAGCTTTATATTGAGCTCTCAGCTGCAAATAACTGAAAATCCCAATGGAAAATTGTAAAACACAAGGAACGATGTGTGGAGACAGAGAGAGGAGTTTTGCAATAAAAATAAATAGGGTTAGTTTGAGGAAGGAAGAGTTTTATAAGGAGACAATTAACCGCCGATACAGAGAGAGAGAGGAGGGGTTGATGAAATACGGGTTTTCCCCTCTCTAAGGTTTCTAGAGAGAGAAAGTGATTTGAGAGAGCTAGAGAGAGA